GCAGGTCACCCTTCTTGAACAATAACACGGTCTTGCTGGTCTTTCACTGAGTGGGGACCTTGCATTCAGACAAGAGCCGTGTGAAGAGCCGAGCCAGTGTTTTTAGGAGGACTGGCGGAAAGTTCTTCAGGTGTTCTGGTCTTATCCTGTCCGGTCCTGGTGCTGTTCGATTTTTCACCAACGAAATGGCATGTCGGAATTCGGAAGGGGGAACGGGTGGTAGAACATATCCATCCTCCTTTATTTCATATGAAGGAAGGTGGACGTGGCTATCGAAGAGACCCGAGTAGTATTGGTGAATGATTTTCTCCATTGCCTTTCTGGACGCTGTAACTGTTTCGTCTGGGCGTCGGAATATAATCATTTTGGCCTTGTAATTAGCGAAGCTTCGGTGGGCTTTGCGAATGCTTTTCCCAGTCTCTGTAGCTTCGGCCATTACTGATGCTCTTCTCTCTTTAAGATCTTCTTTTATATCGTCTGTCTGCATTGTTTTGCAAGTTCGGACGTTAGTTCGCGGTTGCCTGCAGCTCGTGCGATTCCACGCTGGTGTATCAGCTCGAATGTTTCTGGAGACATACGTCTCTTAGTGACTTTTGAACTCTGAGCATTCATTGCGCTAGCGTGAAGTTGTTGAATGAGCCGATCGTATTCTTCGTTGATGTTATCGACAACGGCATCTTCCCAACGGCCGACTGATGAATTGAATAAATCCCAGTTTACTGTAGTTCTGGGACTTCGGTTTTGGAGTTTAGCGGGTTTTTCTCCCAACCGCGAGGAATAGAATCTGGCACGAAGGAGACGATGGTCTGGTCCCGTGTAGAATTTTGGGACAACTGGGACATCGGTTAGGCAAAACTCCCACGGAAGTAAGACTCCCACGTCCTGCGTTGAAGGTGGGGCTTCTGGAATTGCGAGTTACCATGGATTGTCTTGGCCGCCATGATAAAATCAGGTAGACGCCCACCCTGTTCCTTCCATTCTAACCCATGGGTCCCAATGTGACGTTCTTCAGACGTTCTTCTTGGCCTACTCTTGGCGTTGAAATCTCCAATGATGACCTTGAAGAATGTATTGTCTTTTCTGTAGAAGTTCTTCAAGTCCATACTGAACGCTTCGACTTCTTCGTCATAGTTTGATGTCGGCGCGGAAACGACGAAGGTTGTCAAAGCTAGAATTGATCCGTCTTTTTAGTCGTAAACGACCGATTCGGGTTGTAAGTTGTTCGAATGAATCGATGTTCATGGACAAACTCGCGCTGGCATGAACGCTGACGCCGCCGCCGACTCCTCTACTATCGCATGTTCCGAGGAACAGTTCTTCTCCTGTGTCATACACGACGTTGAATGGGTGGCGTCTTCTGGTTTCAGCCAGGCCGATTACATGGTACTTTATCCTTCTTGCTTGCGAGCAGGTCTTCTATCGAAAACTCGGATTCAAATGTGCGTGCATTGTAGGTACAAATCGTCACCTTAGTTCTTTGCGGATTAGGCAGCTTACAATGGCTCTAAGATCTTGGCAGTCTCTTCGTGCTAGCCCTACACAAGGATGCCAAATAGGGGGCTCTTTCGTGATAAGGGAACGAAGCCCGTTTCTTCTATTGCTTTTAGCTTTTTGTTACCTACGTATAACTTGCCGGGCACTGAACGGGGGGCTGGGTATACTTATGGGTAGCTTGCCTGGTTCTCCCAGAGTGGGCATGGAGCTTATTTGTTGAAGGCGACTCCTAACCGCTTCCCATATTCTTCCCAGTCACTTGATTGCAGGTTTTTTGCCGAACTGGCTCGTAGAATACAATCAGCACTAAAAACGCACCCACACACGCATGCATGAGTACGCCTAGCAAATACAGAACGTATGTGCCAGATCAGCGTAGCAGAAACAGGGAGCCCATCTCTTGGATCCACCTGCGACTCAGGGAAGCAAAGGCAGCTTTTGGTCCGCGATTTACCCCTATTCGCCACCTGGGGAGGCGCCACGTAGCGTTGCGACCAACCGGCTCGAGATCTCTCATATGAGGGAGATCCGTGTGGTAGCAGTGCTGAAGGAAAGAAATCGAAATGATTCAGTTTGTTTCATAAAAAATTTTTTCAAAGATAAATAAAACTGTTGGGTCCAAATGTTATACGAGTAAACCAGAACAAGTTTCGATAGTTTCTTTTAGTTGTCATTTTATGCACCGAAATAATAGTGACTGAGTTCATGTTACTTCTTTCGAGTTTCAGCTTATCGTACGTTAATAATAACGTCTATAATTTTCAAACCGAGGATCATTTAACCTCGGTAATGAGATCATTAACATATGTTTAAATTGTTGAGCTTACACGAGGTTAAACTATTTAGTTTTATTCACTTAAAGTTTCGACGTCTTGATCTTCGTGAGAGCCGATGGTCCGAGTCGATGATCCACGGTTGTTCGTTTTCTCGAGGTGGCATCTTCACTTTCCTATTGAGTTAGATCTTCAGTGCGCATTGTAGGGTGAGTGCACCTCGTTCGCAGGATGGGCATGCCTCTCATTCGAGCGATACTCACTGAAGAAGATCTGACTCGATACAAAAATGAAGATACCACCTCGAGAAGAGCAACCGTGCACCATCGACTCGGATCATGAGCTCTGATTAAGACGAAGGCGTCTAAACGTTAACCGAACAAACCCATTTGTCAACCTAATGTAAGCTCATCAACTTAAACACAAGAACATCTATATTCTTGTAGCAATCTGGTAACTGACCCAACATTGGAATGGTTAACTTTGATTAGAAGTTGCGCAGCGTTATGAAAAATTGCTGCTTGGCTTGAAAAGTATTCAAGTCTACCTGTACTATTATTTTCCTTGTCGTCATAAATTGTGCTTTTGAAAACCCAATAGGGAATGACGACAAATCTCGCAGCAGTTCTATGTTCAACAGCGTTTTGCTTGTTTTGCTGAATCGTTTGCAGAGATTTTTCTAAGTAATTTTCTTGTTGATCGCTATTCCTCACCGAAAGTTTTTACAGGCTTTTCGACTCTTTTTCCTATTCGAGTTCTTCTCGGTGTGTGTTTCTCACCGTCCCTTCCAGTTGTGGGAGCAGTTGCAGCGAATTGGGGATGCTTAGATGAACAGCTTCTTTTTACAGCTACTACGTTCGCATTCATTCAGGTGAGAATGCTACTGAGGCGAGTAGTTTCTCACATAGGATACGATGTCGTGAAAACAAAGGGTAAAACAGGAATGCGAACCATATGGCTCCAAACTTTGGCTGGATCGGCGATGCCTTGTCCGCTGTCCGTTATGGGGTTAAAACATCCACATCACTTTTCGATCGAAGAAAACCGCATGTTGACAATATAAGAACTCCTTGTATCTTCTGTCATATATTAAAACTCGGCAAAGTGCTTGAGGAATTAATCGGATTTGTAAACCAATTATTTGAAAAGGCAAAACTATTGTTATTATTATTAATATTATTATTATTGCTATTATTATTATTACGGGATGAGCGCATTTGTAGTCGTTTTGATACCATATCATTTTCCTATGTACAGTTTAAACTACCGTATAATGTCTATATTACTTACTTGAACTTGAACGGCCCGTCATCACTAGTTGTGTGGGCCTCAGAATAATTACCACTCTTCGGAGGTCTGCTGATTAAGCCATTGTGGTTCCCTGGAATCTCGAGGGCAGCCTGGCAAAAGTCTGCCCCAGGTTGTCACCGCGACAAGGAGTCGCAGCCCTTGTGGATCAGAGGGGATTTACCAATATGCGACTTTGATATCAAGGCGGTGGTGGATCTTGGTATTGGTTTACGCTTAGCTAGGCTTTCTGATGGAAACGGCGGACTCCTTTTCAGCTTTGGAGACTCTGCGGGGGTGCGATTCCTCCCGCTGTACATCCCAGTCAGACACCCAGGAACACCTAGCCACGATGAGGCGGTAAACTGCTAGGAGGAGTCTCTATACTACATACTATATTCTACTCATAGCCTACATCTCTGTAATATATACTGTATTAGAGGAATGTAGGCTATGAAGTCTAAGATGTAGCACTTATAGTCCTCTGGAAATATCTAAGTGTTTGCGTCCTGTAAGTATTTAACCTATGCAGCCATCAAGTAAACTGAAAAGTCACACAGCTCTACGGCTTGCAGCCAGATAAGAATCAACTACATTGCTTGTTACGGTTCGATATCGAACATCCTTTTCATCTTTGAAATCCTTTAAATAAGATATTTTCGATCTAAATGCTTTAGGGTTTAAATGAACAGGAAAAAAGCGGTACTGTTATAAAAGATGGTTCTTAAACTACCGAATACCTATGCGCGGTTTTTACTATACAGATTTATTCAATATGGCTCTATAAAGGAGTGCAAGAATACAATGCAACGATGAAGGAAATGAAACCACTTTGTTTTTTCTTATAATTTTCGAGCCATTACGTCTTATTAATTGTTTTTTCTGTTTATAGTTGGCACCAGTAATGTCATGGCCGATAACGATGTTGGTATTCTCGAACGAATTTCCACTGTACGGGATCTATGCGATACACTCAGCTGTCACACTGGCTCTCGCCTTTTTGTAAGTGTTTTCTTTATTCTTTATTCCCTTTGTTATTTTATGTACATTCTTTTTTTGAATTATTCATGAATTTAAAATCATTAAAACAACGAAGTTTTTGATGAGCATGAACAACGGCTGCAAAAATGGCAATGAACTCATTCGTAATCCCAAAATTCATCATCTTGGTAAGCTTCTCGGTGGCTCCCTTGGAGCAGATAAGTCCACTGAAGGTGGAACCAAAAGTTCATTCTTTTGTTTTTTCGTAAAAAAAATAAAAAAAAAACATTTCTGACCCAAAATTGCCTTCTAGTGCTATCGAAGCTGTTTTTAAGGGGTCTTCGAAGAACAGTTTTTGCCTTATATAATACTTTTGGCATGATTCAGACTATCTCTTCTGTGCCAGTTTTACCTCTCTTATCGTGCTTTTTAGGGAATTCTCAGCATTTGCCATAAAATTGTGCATATTTTTTTCAGTTACTATTTCAATACTGGCAATGATTTCTTATTCAGGTTTGCGATTTTTCATCGTGATCGTCCGCAGCATCATTCGTGGGTAAATGGTCTGGAACTTAACAGAATCGTTGCTGGAAAAGTGCAGGTACAAGAAGTTTTGTTGAGCTTTTTTTATAATGATATCTTTTATACCATCTATTTTATTTTTTTTTTTTATACGTGACGAATCCTTTGATATTAATGGTTATACGTATGTTCTTGTTCACTGTCTTCTCACTTCTGTGCTCTTATCTGAGCTTCTACTAATATCATATACCTGAGGATCGAGTTTCAACTTCGTTTCTGATTCCATCGGTGTAGATTTTCTTCGATATGCCTTGTCCTAGCAAACATAATGATTATATGGAACACTTATACCCACGGGTGTGCGGATTGTCAAGCCTATGAGGAATGTTTGTCGTAGTGTTTTTTTTGTGGGGAGATTATGGCGCGATATGCAAAAGTACAAATTCTTAAACATTTTGCTTTGTGGTTTGGCTCATCTCAACACAGCAAAAGCATTAAGAAGCATCGACTACGTTTTTGAAGACAGTTCTGGTGAAGATTTAAGAATTGTGAAGTAAGTGCAGTGAGGCATCCTTGATCACTAGTTTTGTGTCCATCGTATGTCTTCGTAGCCGCCATCCACCACTCTATCAAACAGTCAGTCCTGCACTCATCTAAAATAAAAAATGCATTATTACCACGTAGTGGTGGTCTGGCAATCTTTATACTTGTTGAAATTCAGTATTTGAAGAATTATTAATTTCAAAATAATGTGAGCAAATCTCCATAGAGCTGCTCAACACTGCTAACTTCATCTCATATGTCTTGTTAATCTTTACTAGCATATCGTTTTCGAAACGTTTTCCTAGCTTATTTTTTCATTGAAAGCCTTCCTGGAACTTCTCAAAGATGTCTCGGACCGGCCGCAGTTGTAATCCCGAATATGTAGCTGTATAGTATACCGGCCAGTTCTTGTTTTCTGTAAGAACACTGTCAAAAATCCATAGTAGTTATTCATTATTTTCACTCATTCATTTATTTGTACTATTCTAATCTCCGTTCTCATGCGTCGGAACATATTTTTTTCTGCTTTTTTTTTTGCGGAGCACCGCGCATCATGAATAGAAGTTCAGGAGCTGAAAAGCAATCGTGCACAATCGGGCGGGTGCCCGACCTTAATGCGTTCGCTAGCGGCATGGTCGTTGTGGGTCGGAATCTTCGGCATATTTTTTGCCATTGCTATGATTTCTACGTTTATCCCATCGATCCTGTCTTGTCAGGAAGTTTTCATGGTTGATTATCTTGGTGTCTACGCCATCCTGCCATTCACGCTGGTGGTGTGTCTTAAGTTATATCGAATTTTTACGATTTAGAGGACTTTAAGTAATAGTTTCTTAATTTTTGAGAGATTATTATGAAACGCTGAAAAGTCATTCGTTTTTCATAGATAATAAGTTACAGTAACAATAGCAAAAAATAGCGAAGTATAAAAATATTTACGTTGCCTGAGTTTGCAACGAGATCTACCGCATTTAGAATCAGAAAATTTCGTCAGAAGAGATTTAAATGATGCGGTTGATTCAGAGTTGGAAAAATATCATGGTCGTATTCTCTCATTGATGAGCTAAGACGAGGTTGATAAGATAAACTTTATTCTGCTAACGTTTCGACGTCTTCATCTACGTGAGAACCGATGATTCATGTTGATGTCCTTAGTCCTTCGTACTTACGATGTAGAGTCTTTGTTGTCATATCGAGCCGAATTTTCTTCAGTGGGAAATCACTCGGCTGAGGCAAGCTCATTGGAAACATGGAAAGGAAATCATTATCAGTCGACAATCAATCAAAAAACGTCCTGTTTAGAAGAGCATGGCCGTATGAAATTTCATCAATCACTGATGGATATCCGACACGATACAACGGCGACGAAGACACAACTTCAAGAGTACGAAGGACCGTGGACATCAACTCAGATTATCGGCTCTGAGGAAGGCTAAGACGTCGAAACGTTGGCCGAATAAAGTTTACTTTATCAAACACGTGTTAGCTCATCAATGAAAGAATACTTTGATCATTCATGCTGAGGTTAAAGGAAAGTCGATTTTTGAATTATCGTAATTCGTAATAGCTACCATGACAGTTTTGTTCTAAACAAAATTTTGGAAAAATGCTCACAAATAGTTTTATGAGGTCATTTCCGACTTTCCTTCTAAAATTCATCGTAGGGAAATTAAAGTAAGACGGAAGAAGTGATAGTACATGGTGAGTAATCGGAATTCTTCCAGCCGTTGGTAATGTTACTGGGAGGTTTGGTGAACTGGTGGTCATGTTGTTCGTCGACAGCTCACGTGAGAGTGTGGAATAGCGTTGGTTCTGGCTTGACGGCCATCTTCTTCATGGCTCTTCCTATTTTATTCCAGCTACAGTCGCCTTCAGTGTGAGTTCTAATATTCTAATATTTGTGTTTTGTAATTTAAGGGAAATATGGCGAACATTGTAAAAACATTGTAAATGTGTATGACCGTGATCTAGTGGGAAAAACTGCCCATCGTTCCAGAGTTTTGAAATCTTGCTTTGTGTTAGACGCATTCTGGTACCAAGCAATTAATTAACTTGTTAGTAGAGACAAAAACAGAGGCAAGAATCCAAGCATTGAGAATTTCTGGAATTAAGCGTTACCGTAATCTGGTTTAATTCACTGAAGTACGCTATGGTGTTTATAGGTTGATCGAACAACCACTTCCATCATTCACAACTTTATTTTGCGAAAACGTCGTCCTACACAAATTGTAAAAGCTATCTCTATTAATACCTCCCAACGGTTTACCGCCTCATCGTGGCTGTTAGGTGTTTCTGCGCGTGAGACTGCAGTGTAGGTAATGCGGAGGGATTCATCCCACAGCAGGGTCTCCCAAGCAGAGAAGGAGTCCGGAGTTTCCACCGGGAAACCCAGCTAAGAAAAGAATAGCTAACTCGCCTTTCTCCACGACTGCAGGCAGAATCAACTCGATCATCATTCTATGGCATTCATAGAGAACACGAAATCCTCAAGCAGCAGCGAGAAACAACGCGCGAAATTGTTGAAGGCTTTTGTGGACAATGAATGCAAGAAGCCTCCCAAAGGTTTACCACCTCATCGTGGCTGAGAGGTGTTCCTGGGTCTCGAGTTGTGATGTACTGCAGGGGGATTCGTCTCCTCGACAGGGTCACCTAGGCTGAGAAGCAGTCGGCGTTTCCATCAGGAAGCCCAGCTAAGAGTAAACCAATACCAGGATCCACCACCGTCCTGGTATCAAAGTCGCATGGTGGCAAATCTCCCTCTGATCCATAAGGGTGGCGACTTCCTGTGGTGGTGAAAACCTGGGGCAGACTTTGACCAGGCTGACCCCGGGACTCCAGGGAACCATAATGGCTTAACCAGCAAATCTCTGAAAATTGTGATAATGCTGGGGCCTGCACAACCAGTGAGCGGGCCATTAAAGTATCAAGTAAGAATGCAAGAAGTGCAGAGATCCGTACAGTAAATGTGATGACGGTTCATGTGAAACAAAATTTTAAAAAAGTGCGCTTATCACCCAACCGACCATGCAGAGAAATTACTAGAAATCAGTATGTATTCTTTTCACTGGCGGTGAGTAATCGCATTTATCTGCATCAAATTATGGGTAACGGCTAAACCGTGGATCTTAAGGTCGACATAAATTACATTGTTGCAGCAATGTGTATTTTCTGATGTTGTCGCTGGCACCGTTTGGATTGTGCGTGAGTGGAGTGCTGCGCAGTTTATGCTTGGTTGGACGTGCTTACACTCAACACATCACGGCTTATATGGGTGCGAGTATGGCCGTCGCTTTTATCACAGCTCCACTACTTGTGTTTTTCTACCTCAATACCAAGTGAGTGTTTAGTTGTTAGTAATGGAGACTGGTTCATTTTTACCACATAGTTCCTTCGTGGTGCTTACATTGTCCCTTTAGAATTTTAACTTGACCTCAATGTGTTTCCCTTCTAAATTAGGTTTTTTTGGTTTACTTGCATCGAATCCTGTTATACATATGGTTTTACGTGAGCTGGGTTTTAACGAAATAAATCCAAGTCAAGGAGGAAATTAGTTCTAATCATTGCTCTCACTCTAATCTTTTTTTATTTTTAGTAGTCACCGCTTATCTATAAATTGAGTGACTGAAACATGTACTAGTGCACCCTACATTCCTTCCTGTGATGAATCAGAGCTGTCCATTAGGCTGAGATCTCTCGTTAATTACGAAGAATATCACATTTTTATATGAAGTTTTATACTTTTATTTTGTTGAAAAGTAAGAATGGATAATTCAATGTTTTTCATCAATAAGCAGACACGAGGTTGTTAATATAGAATTTATTAGAACACAATTGCTGACGTTTCGGCGGTTTCGCCTTCTTCAGAGCCTGGAAAGGTCAAATTGAGATGCGATCTACTCAGCCAAGAATGTTAAGAATGGATAGTTCACAGGGCTTTACCGTGGCGTGGAGTTTCCTTCAGTTCAGCTTCCTAAAATATCACTCATTCTCATCTGGAGTTAGCGCTGCCACCTTGGTGAATCTCTAATTCTATATTACTGTTTGACGTCTTAGAACATCCTCAAGAAATATAAGGTGGTAAACTATTGGAGGGCTGCATCCATAATCCATTCCACTAAGATCTGATGACGATTAGTCTCCGTACTTCTTCTCAGTCAAAGTCTTTTTTCTAATTCAATTTCCAAATTTTATTACCACTAAACCTTTGTCAGCATGTACCTGATCAGAGAATTTTCTGATATTTTTGACGAAAACGATTTTCTTAAGCTCATTAGCTGAATGGACGAGAGTGTTCATGACATCAGCGGCTGTGATCATCATTGCATCGACCATATTTGCCATATTTGGAAGAGGTTTGTTGTTGGCCTCCTTGAGCGTTAGATTTTTTTTCCCAGCGCTAAGAATACCATTTTCGAACTGAAGATCGGTAAAGTCAAGGTTGTGGACCAACATATCCCAGATGTGGAAGGTGACAGAAAATTGCCATTCGCTGTTTTCCCAGTAATCTAGAAAATATTTGCTTTTCGTTTTTCCTTCTGTTTACTCACTCCTTCCAACTATGACTTCTCACGTTTTGAGCAGACACAAACATGCTTTGGCTCAGTTTTCTTTGTAAGATCAACGTTCTTGTTTGGAGAACGTAATGTTGTTGCTCAGATTTTGTTAACATTACCGAAACGACAACTACTTTGCCATATTTTCAAGAATCTCAGCAGTATGCTTCTACCAACTTTAATTTTGATCCGTAAATTCAGGACGAGCCTCCAACTGGGCAGCGACTTCATGGGATCCACTGATATCGTCGAAAATGCGAAATTTGCAGCCGATCGACTTCAGTCAAGACGAATGTGGCCTGTATGAACTGCGCCTTATTGACCCAAACAGGAAATGAAAGAACAGTGCCCTCGGATTTATTAATTGATAACCAGTCAGCTACGTCGCCCTGAATGTCGTCTCGTACATAATTGGTAGCTGGTTGCCGATTAATAAAAACCTGTCATCTTCCACTATCCGACTAGTGGAGAGGACTTTTCTGATTGCATCGATTAGTAACAAACCGGAGAATGGCTTCCTAAGCATCATAATTGAAAATTCACTAAAAATCACTCTTAAACCTTTGGTTCACTTAAACTGATTTCTTCACCGTCATTCAGATTCTCAGCCAGTTATCTGAACCCATGAGACCAAAGATCATTTCTCCAATGGTCATATGCTTAAGAACTGTTGTACCAAAAATTTTATGATGAATTTCTGACGATTCTACAAATAGATTCCTTAATTGACAATACAAAAAGGATTCAAAGTTTTTAAAGTTCTATTATCTGGCATACAACATTCTTAGCTGAGCGATTAGGCCTTCACGCTGTTTTGGTTTTTATGGTCAGATTGCTTTAACACACCGTTTAGTTATCTCATACGTGAATGCCCATCACTTCATGTGTAATTATGATATTGTGCCTTTGTTTTGCCTGGTGTTTTGGCTGTACTAATCGGGTTTTCGTTTCTATTCTTTCTCTGTTCTGGTATGTCTGCGACCACGTGGCCACAAAGAACTGTGGTGGCTGCCTTACGCAAAACACACGTATTGATTGATAGCCAACATGAACCGACTAGGACGAATTCTGTGTCGAACGTGCACTATATGTACGAGTCCTTAGGCCGATCACCATATTAAGCTCCATATCTTCTTTCATTATTGAGTCACAGTTCTTCCAGGAAGACCAGTCGATTCAAATTGTTAGTTTGATATTTTTGCTTTGTAATACTCGATGTCATCATAGAGATTCTACAAATTTTATTCAGTTGTAAAATCTGTTGTTTTCTTGTGATATACATCCATTGTGCTTTTAAATATAAAAAATAAAAATAGAGATTAGATAAGCTTCTTGAAGCCAAAAACGCTTACGGCTCAGTGGTCGGAGGTGCCGTGCAACACACGTGGAATCGATTCCTGCGCCCATGGTGCACCAAGCTTTCCATCCCTCTGTGGTCGGCAAATTGTACCAGACTTGTCTGGGAAGATAGCAGCACTGGCTCGGTACATCGGTAGACCACTGCGAGTCATTGTAAAGTCGAATGCATGGTACATTCCTTAGGGGCAGATCAACGGCGAGAGATCTATCATTTTTATTTTATCATGAAAACAAGGGAAACATCGAAAGAAGTCTAGTAGAAAATCAAAGACCCTGGTGGATGATTGGTACAAGCAAAAGGACTAAATGAAAGAAGTGTTAGAATTGAAAGCCTGTGCCGGGTTGAAATCAGTTTATGCCAATAACATCACATCCTGAAGTTCTGGTAAGAAAATCTTTATTATGAAACAAAGAAGAATAAAAAGAAAGAGAGCTAAATGGCGGTACAGAATGTCATACGGAGATTTTCAGTGAATCGTTGAAGACAAGACATTGCACTCTCACGTTAAAGTTCCATAGAGTTTGTAACCAATTTTAATGCAATACATAGTTTATGTCGCAAACAGAGAAAACGTGTTATTCTTGAATTAACAACCAATCTCTACTTCTACATTGCCCGACACTTATCGGCTCGTAGTGGCAAGAAAGTGGAATGCCAAATTATGAGCAAGAAATGTTCACAATTGTTCATTCTCAGAAGAAATTCAGTCAATTCTGCTCTTCTACAGCACGGCTTTTATATTCTTTTCTACTGTTCAACTATACCTATAAATCCTCGAGATCGAACTGACTCATTCTCTAGTATGAAAGGAAGCAGATTTTTTTCTAGATCTTAGTTAGAACCAGTGATATTTGCTGACGTTTTTGCTATATTATGTAAAGGATATAAATTTAACTTTACCGGTTGTAGTGAATTTCAATAGTTTTTTCATTTTGGCTACCATTTATAGCTTACAGTAACGGTCATTTAAACATTTTGTGAAAGGTAATAGTGAAAAACAATCACAAGGACCAATTAGACATGGAGAGAACCTTCCAACGAAAACGATTGACGGGTACTCGTCTTGTCGCCTATGGGAATGCTTTTTAATTTCCGTTTTACTTTCGAGGTGATGACGTGGCTTTGTCAGCCGTTGGTCTTCTGGAAAAGGGGCTGGTTACTCGAAATATGGGGAGAAAACTCAAAGATGAAAAACTGAGATGCAAACGCTGTTTCGAAGACATTAATAAATACAGTGAAACCTTCTTTGCTTGAAAACGTCAAAGAAACCTTGCCTCATAAAGTTGATTGATAAATTTAGCAGAGCCACAATAAAACAGATGAGAGCGTTAAGCGTCTGCGCATGAAAAGTGTAAAGCCAGATATTTCTTTATAAAACCCTGAATAGGCTCAGAATAGTCCTGAAGATTTCATGTTCTTTGGTGAATTCCAAAAAATTCTTGGCTGTTTTCTGTGGGTTACCCAACGCATATCTCAGTTATATCTCATACTTCAGTTCCTCTATATATTGATATTGGAACTAGTTCATGTTGTTTAGCGGTTACAGGAGCTATGCCGAGGCTACTAGAAAGTCAATCCTGGGTACAAATATTCATTCATTCACCATTAGTATTCTCAGCGGCGTCATGTTCACTCTTAGAGAATTGATCAGCGTAGACCCCTTGTCTTTCCATCCTTCATTATTTAAAAATACTCCAATAAAACAGCAACTAATTTTGCCTTGCTACTTAAATAAGGAGCATTACAGGTCATTCTGGAAGCTAATCACCCCTAATGGCTCAAAACCCTACAGTGGCAAGTTAGTGTTTCTGGTTATCAGTCTTTCGGAAGGCCTGTAGTGAAGAGTTAGGAAAGCCCAGACACAGCATTTTTGAAATCGAATGAAATATCTTGATAACACTTAGCTAATAAGCTCAAATTATTCTATTACACTGAAGTATTTTCCTCCCAACGGTTTACCCCTCATCGTGGCTGGGAGGTGTTCCTAGGTGTCGGGGTGCGATGTACAGCGGGGCGATTCATTCTCTCAGTATGGTCTCCCAAGCTGAGGTGTCCAGCGTTTCCATTAGGAAGCCCAGCTAAGAGTAAACCAACACCAGGTTTCACCACCGTCCTGGTATCAAAGTCGCATGGTGGCAAATCTTCCCCTGATCCACAAAGGCTGCGACTGACAGCAGTGGTGACGACCTGGGCAGACTTTAGCCTGGCTGACCTCGGGACTCCAGGGAAACGTAGTGGCTAAACCAGGAAAGTTCCGAAAAAGTAAGAGTATGCTGGCGCCCACACAATCGTGGAGAGCGGGCCGTCTAAGTATCTAAGTAAGTAAGAAGTATGCTAAAAAACAGAAGTGGCCAAGTGATTTTTTTGTTTTTGAATATATATTAAATTATAAAAAGGATGAAGCGCTCGATGTTGATCAATTCCCTTAGAATGCACCATGCATCTAAAAATTTCGCCTATATGATGACTTATGGAAGAGTATTCACTTATTAAGCCAGAGTTAATAGAAAGTCTGCCTTGAGAATTACTAAGCTAGTGTTTTTACACTGTCATCTAGCCTGGTACCAATGTCCCACAATGCCGATGGATTAGGGCTTTGGATTACTCTGCTCACCAGATTGAACCAAAAAACATTTTCACAAAAAGAGTACCTCTAACCACTGTGCTAAATGCACTAATAGACGCACTCGTAGTGCAAACATTTGCTTTGCATAGCCGGGAACATAGTTGTCTAGGTGGACACGGAAGCATTAGTTATTCTTGGCACCGAATACAAAAGTGTCCCGGCGAGCGACTCACATTAACTGGGCTACAAGTGGTGAAGGTAATGCACATTTAAGGCTAAAAACTCGAAAAAAAGCTGTTGGTTCCTTAGTTATTCTTGGCTTCGGCTTTAAATTACAAATAACTCATTGAAAACTAGAAAGTTTCGACAACAAGAAAGCCGAGATGCGAGGAAAACTTGGAAGTTAGGAAGGCAACTCGCAATTATGTTTACCGGAGACTGAAGTGCTATCCACAGCACAAGATGATATTTGAGTTTTAGTTAAATTTTTGCCGACACCGTGACTAATTTGGAACAATACACAATTTTGTGACGTTTCTCATTCACGTGCTCGGCTGACTGCAATTTTTGGATCACCAATGAGATAGATGACATCGTTAGTCAGTGACGGAATCATGCAAGAGGGCCTCATTACACAATAACGCGTTACAGTAACATCAACGATTAAATAAACATCAAATTGTAATCTAAGGAACTGCTGAATATTCGAGCCTTTCTACTAATTTTCACCTAACAATATGTCCACTTACTTGCTACCAGTAGCACTCCTTCGAGACACAGTATCCCGCCGAAGTCCTTTTGTCTGAATTTGACCGATTTTCTCAGCAAAACTCATACTGGAAGCGCTTTCGTTGTAATGAACTGCATCAGGAGAGAGATGAACAATGACCAGCGTTTTACTATCACCGTCTGAAATCAGAATATCTTATTTTTCATCATATGGAAGACTCGGAGCTTAAACGATAGGAAATTATTCTAGGGGTTCTACTCGCAAAAGCAGACGTATGTAAGAAAGTCACAATGCTGACAAACTAATATTTTTAGAAACTCCCCAACTATGAAAGAAGCCAAAAAATATGAACGAAAGAAAGCAGAGAGTACCACTTTCGTCGTGCTAACGTTGAACTCAGTGATTGCGATAAAATTAGGATATCGTCTATTGGGCCAGTTATTCTCAATGTGGACAACTCGATTGATTGACTAATAATGAGTGTTAGAGAATAATGTCATGTTTCAGTAATTACCACTTAATATTACTTTGACTTTTAAGCATATTTTTCCTTGTTAACTCATAACACTGACGTGGACACTATAGTGTCCATAGCAATTTCGATTAAACGGCCACATGGGTAGTACAAGGCCATGGGTACTCATTCGATAGCTAGTCGGAAGCAGATTGAAATAGTAGGGTGAAACCGCAGAAGTCATCTAATGATCTACAAAACCCTTTTTCGAAAAAGTTCGTTGCCTGGTAATTTGGTTCAGAATTTATTACTACTTCATTTCAATCGCTATGTATAGAATGTAGGGCACGTGTGGCGTAGTGGACATAGGCGCCGCTGCGACACACATGGAATCGATCCACGCGCCCATGGTCTACCAAGCTCTCCATCACTCCGGGGTCGGCAAATTGGTATCAGACTTGTCTGGGAGGATAGCAGCATTGGTTTGATACATCGGTAGGCCACCGCGAGTCATTATAAAGGCCAGATATGCACTCAATACTTAATGAAGTCGAGTGCATGGCACAACCCTCAGAGATTGATCTGTGTAGAATGTGTGGAATGTGAAAATACCGAAATGCGCTCAACATAACTACAAAGCGTATGTGGGAACGCGAAAACTACAATTTCCAATAGGGACCATTGTAACACATAGCAAATAGTAGCTTATCATTCATAGTCATGGAACAATAGAGCGAAGTCCATTCTACAATTATGCCGTGTTCAAAACTCCTAAAACACTCTAATTATAAGAAAACTCACTTTTTGCCTTCCAAAAACCAGAAAGTCTCCAGCTGTCTAATAATAGATCCTATTAGGTGGAACACCCACGAAATGCGGTAGCGGAACCTTGTATTGTTCTATGCATAATGCTTTGATAACTCGAGTTAGTTATTAAATGCCTGCTTTCCAAGTTCGTTGTTACTCCTATCGAACTGGTATACGGTAATGTTACCATAAATGGTAGGTCTCATGCACTTAAAAGTGAAAAAAGACTATTGGATTCGATAAAATAAAAGCTATCTGCATTGATCAATCCGTAGCGGATGAGCCATGGATGCGACTTCATTAACCATCGTTTGGAGGTGATTGAATGGACATTTGGCCTTTACAATGACTCTCAGTGGGCAATGTGTCGAGCCACTGCTGCCTCCCAGACAAGTCTGGTACCAATTTGCCGACTCAGGAGGCATGGAAGGCTTGGTAGGCCATGGGCGCGAGTATCGATCCCATATGTGTGTTGCAGGGCGCCTCCGACCATTGAGCCACACACGCGGGCTTTATAATAATGCCTTTTGAATTGGATATGAATTCAGATCGGGTAATCACTGGGAATAAAGGCGTCTCACAGAGTAAAGGAAAAAAAGCAGAAAAGCGTAATACAGCCTTAATCACTTTGGCGGTGAACGGGAAAAACGGGAAGAAATAATGTTGCTAGAAATCCATTTTCTTGCTCTTTGCTTGGTTTCCCTTTAAGAAATTTCAGTTGAACTCACTAAGACTATCTTCCAGAATCCTCGTCAATTGGCAGTTTCGAAATGGAATATGTTTCTGATTTTGGCGAAGAGCCAGAACAACATTTCCCAGTTCGGAAAGTGACCTGCATAGAAAGTCTTACTATTAAGTCATGTTTTTGTCCCCTTATTAGTGTCCCCTTATTAGTGGCGACAATCGTTTTTCTTAGGTGAAACTACACTTTTTGCATTCCCTAGTAACAAACTCGCTCAAAATATCTTAAGTTAGGCTCGCCTATTGATAAATTTGCTAACTAATCGTTCTGATAATCGAACAATCGATCAGAGATGCTGTTTACTTACTTGTTGATAGCTTGAGCTTCTTTCAGTAGTTGACCAGTGGCGTTTGTTTGAGAAACCCGTTCCGATCCAGCCAAATCAATAAGATTCAGGCGACCTCAATGCTTATTCTAAGATAATAAAGCATGATTTTTTTCCTTTTGCTAATTCAAAACAGGTAACGTTGTTAACATACCGACTGTAGTCGTACCAGTAATATTGTTTTTCGCCGTGACAACAACTCGAACTATTACGTGAGATCTACTGGAGCAAGAATTTGCCTCTGTAGACGCTACTGCCTGAATAGAAAAGTGGGAGCCTTTAGTTTTGTTTAAATCGAACAACATAGGCTTGCAGTTTTTATTTCAAATTTTAACCTTCGAAAGATAGCCTTGCTATCTTAGAATTTTATCCAAGAACCAAATCAGTGAAGAGATTCTATATATTACAGGTTTTTGCAAACTAGTAATGGCCCGCTAAAATGAGCAAAAGTGTTTCTCGGAGGAAGCACCTTGTTCTTTCGTCCTTCTCGTAAAACATCGATGACGTGCTGAACAGACGTTACTTGGATCTCTTGCAGCCCTGGGATAGACAGCTGACCTTCTTCAGTCATTCGAATTGTTAACGCGGCGTTTGATGAACCCAGCAGATCTCTGCAAATACAAGAATTTATCTCAGCTTCTTGTTCCAGGATGTTTAGAAAAATAGGAGCTAAACTACCTTAAACATTTCTAAGTTTTTTTCACTTTATCCCCACAAAAATTGTCTGCTTCGGATTTAAATTCGGGATGAAGAGTTTATTCTACAGAAATATAATAAGAGACCTGTAGTTTAGGCTTTCCAGGATAACTTTCTGGATTAACTTCCATTGTGCACACCTGATTTTTTCGTTGTAGATTTCCATCATAGAGACTTTGATCTCGTATACAATATTACTTTTCTGACCATCAACAGCAGCCTCAAATAGTTGCATAATCGCTCGTTGATTGATTCCCGGATCAGACTCAGGTCCCTACAAAGCCAGAATCTTTGCAAAAGCAAAAGTTTTTATAGGATTCAAACTGAAAGGTCTCAAACTTGTTACGCTTTTCAGCTTTTTGAAAATGCCATTGGCAACATGAGGTCGATAAATGTAGTTGGGACATTCTTTGACAAGCGATTCACGAAGTAAGTCAATTGTAATGATTCTGCCACTGAAAATTGTTTGCGGCCCCGTCGTCGTGTCATTTGAGTGTTGAGGTGCGACGTACAGCAGGGGTTAAACCCTCGAGAAGGTCACGAAGGCTGCTAAGACTTTGAAATTTCTGTTTGGAAGTCAACCTAAAAGCAGTCTGACAGCGGTACCACAGTATAACAAACTCACTTGCAAAGTACCCCAAAGGTGGGCGCCTACCTATGATACCAAGTCGGGAATCTTTTGTTAACATAAAAAAAGAGAAGACTTCTAGACTTTATTAAAAGGGATTCCTTGCAACAAACAAAATGCCAGTTTAGAAAAAGTGCTAGAGCCTTTACCAGTTTTCGTAAAAGGTGGGCAAGCTAAGTATCCATGTAACAACGTAATGATTCAGCTATGTAGCATAAGTCAAGATGTCCGCCACATTTTCGAGCTAAAGCTGGATAAGCCGAAAATGAGCTCTAGTTGCGCAAAATGTTGTCATTTCGAAGGCGTTGTCGAGAAAGGCAAAAAAGCTGAACTAACTGATCCTCTATAAATTGAGTGAAGTAAGTTTTTTTAATCGGATCGGTAGGCTGAACTATCTAGCTTTTCTTTACCGCTTTTTTTTCTTTTTTGTTCCTTTAGTCCACTGGAGTTCTAGCGATATTACACAGTATTCTGAGTTATAAGGTGCTGTTATGTACTTTTGCCTGCTTTTTGCTTCTGTGCTGAAGAACAGTTTAAAAAATGCCTGAATATATTTGAGAACTAGGTGAGAGGCAGGTGAAACGTAGGACCTGCATGGTGTCGTGGTGAGCGCGTTAGCACCCGGAAAGGATAAGAGCTTGCTTGGTACCCACCGCACACACCTGTGAGTGTTGCAAATATCTCAGCATCATTGAAGTTGTATTCCAATGTTCGCATGACGTTTTGGAGTGTGGCGGTAAATAATTTTAGCGAGATGGTATCGCCTTGCCTAACTCCTGTCAATGTTAATATCGTTGTAGAATGGTGATACCATGGGTGTGAAATTTTTGTACATATCACGAAAAATCTTTATGTACTGAATAGGGACTCCTTGACTATCAAGGGTTTCAAAGACTGCTTCTATCTCAATTGAGTCAAAGGCTTTCTTTAAATCGATGAAAGTGAGACAGAGCGGTCTTTTGTACTCTCGCGATACCTCATTGAGTCTTGTTACCGTCTAGATGTGGACCATCGTACTAATTCCTTTTCGAAACCCTACTTACTCACATGGCTGTCCTTCACCTTGTGTTCTGTCAATCCTGTTTAGGAGGACTCGAGTGAAAAGTTTGTAGACGACAGACATCAAGCAGATTGGGCCATGGTTGCCTGTATCGTGTAGTTAATTCTTTTCGAACAATAACACGGTCTTGTTGGTCTTCAACTGAGTAGGAACCTTGCATTCAGACAGGTAACGTGTGAAGAGCCGAGCCAGTGTGTTTACGAGCACTGGCGGAAGGTTCTTCGTGTGATCTGATCCTATCCTGTCCGGACCTGGTGCAGTTCGATTTTTCATCGACGAAATAGCATGACGGATTTCGGAAGGGAGAACCGGTGGTACAAAATATCCATCCTCCTTTACTTCATAGAACGAAAAGTGGACGTGGCTATCGAGGAAATCTGAGTAGTATTGGTGAATGATTTTCTCCATTGCCTTTCTGGACGCTGTAACTGTTTCGTCTGGACGTCGGAGTGCAATCATTTTGGTCTTGTAATTGGCGAAGCTTCGGTGGGCTTTGCGAACGCTTTTCCCGGCCTCTGCAGCTTCGGCCATTACTGCTGATGCTCTCTCTTTAAAATCTTCTTTTATCGCCTGTGTGCATTGTTTTGCAAGTTCGGACGTTAGTTCGCGGTTACCTGCAGCTCGTGCGATTCACGCTGGCGTATCAGCTCGAGTGTTTCTGGAGGCAAACGTCTCTCGGTGACTTTCGAGCTTTTGTGTATATATATATATAATGTACATATATATATAAAAAAGCGGGTTGGCTTTTGTTAGGAGAACTGTTGTTTTTGAGTTTTCATGACAGCAACATATTATTTGTTGCTCGTACTTACCTCCATCGTGTACGTTTTCCCGCTACCGGTATGACCATAGGCAAATAAGCAAACGTTGTAGCCATCAATACAGCTTGTGATGATTGGCGAAACTTTCAGGAAAATCTGTAATAGGATTTTTCTCTGAGATTCAAAAATCGGCTCTAAATCACTACGATTAAATTTAACCACTGGTTTTGGACACCAAACTGCGATGTTCGAAATGCAAAAACTTAATCTCTTGCACTCTCACTGTCTACGAATGAGGTAAAAATATTCATTATGAAACCGAGATAAGAGCAGGCTTACGCTGAAAATCACCGTTATCTTAAAGTAAACCCACTCGCGAGGTGGCTAACCTCCGTATGATTCACAATGTTCGATAATTACTTATGCTGGCGATATGGGACGCCATTGCTGCCGCTGTCACTGGACTCCAGGAAAAAAACAACTTGCCGTGCGATACTTTTCAAAGTGACCATCATTTACCTTGGTATTAATAATTAATGCTTTATTAGATTACTAAGCTAACACGAGATAGCTAAGATTCGACTCGATACGACGACGAAGACACCACATCGAAAAGAGCAACGACTGTGGACTATCGACAGGCATTTTCGGCCTTGAAGAAACGAAGGCGTCAGAAAGTTATCCGATCGTGTTAGCTTAATAGTCAAAGAAGGTAGCCGTACAGTACTCAGTAAAGTCTCAGTACTCCACAACATGGACACTGCTGTCTTTTCACAACGGTGAAACAAGTGGTGACAGTGGGCAGCAAATAAAAACGTTAGCATTGTGATTTCAACTACACATTTTGCTTAATTGGGTTTAATGCCGATTTAGGATTTCTAGATTAATCTCGTTGAGGAGTGATTGCTGATGGCACTGATCGATAAACTAGCTGACAGACAGGCAAAACGATCCGCACGGTATGCTGGTGAGCGCGTTAGCTCTTGGAAAGGGAAATAGCGTGTACGATCCCCATTGCAGACACCAGCGGTCCGGAGTTTCACCAGTATCTCAGAGTCGATATATTTCAACTATATAGTTATTAAGCGAAATACAACCACAACGTTGCTGAGATATTTGCAAAACTCTGGACCGCAGGTGTCTATGGTGGGGAACGAACGCGCTATTATCCTTTCCGGGGAGTAACGCGTTCACCACCACACCATGCGGGTCCTTTGTTTCGCACGTCTCTCAGCTATTTCTATCGATCTTTTTGCC